GAGTCTTCGACTTATAAGGAAATAATTAAGTTAAAACAAATAAAATCACGAGTCTTCATTCCTCGGCCAACTCGTAGTCAGTTTCTTGTGTCATGTTCCATTATTGTTTTGGACACTTTTCAAATCGAACTCTGTGAGAGAAAAGAGCCGAAAAATTCAAATCCTTCAGCCTTACCCGCATCTACCAACCTATCAAGCATCTCTGAAAGTCAAACCATTCAGTCGGTATGTTTCAATACAGCAACATTCTAGTGTGAGTATGAAATCTGGACAGTTTGATAATCACATAAAACAGCGAAGAGCAGCGGAAGTGGCTTATCTTAAGGCGCCATTCCTTTGTCTGAGTGGCGGGACTGAAACTTCAGGATTTGACCAAGGTATTTCCTAACGTAATAGCTTAGTGCTTCTTAGGCTACTAATTACGGCTGTGTAGAGTGCAGAGGCCGTGCAGCATCGAACGAGGTGGGGAAATCATTATGAAGAGTGTGTGGATAAGGAGGGGGCGTTCCAGCCCTGTTTGAAGGAACTGACCCGGAATTCGCAAGGGCAGACTGAGCAAAACCACGACATTCAGTATAGTAGGAGTCCAATATTTGAATTGGATATCTCCTGAAGTGAGCAACGTAATCGCCACACCAATCTCCTCGCTACCTGATAGGTCGGACAGCTCTTATATCATTCTTCACACCTACGCCTTTTGATCCCCAATCGCCATTCTTTATGGATCTACCGTATTTGATCCACGCTTCTGACACTGCATCATGGATTCCCCTTCGCCCACGAAACTCCTAATCTATTTCCTGTTGCCATTCACTTGAGCTCGTTTGGGTCATCTGTTGCTTGGCATTCATCCTTTCTGCATAAGCGAAAACAGAAATATTTTGACGCATTTTCGCGAGACTTTGTACTTCGTCTTTCCTTGATATTCTTGCCGACTATCTCCAAAAATCCATTTATATTGCCCACAACCCTGTACTTATTTCTGTAATAAGATCCCATACCTCCAAACCACGTAATAATTGTATTTTAATAGTGTCTTGTAAATATTGTATTTATCTTTCCTTATAACTCTGTTCTGTAACACACCACACACCGTCTAAATAACGTATCGCTCCGAATACATCGTATCCTGTCCTAAATCGCGTTCATCGGCATTAAATTCAAATCCCAACTATTTATAGTCACCACAAAATTTTACGAGCATAGTGCCGTTTCCTTCGAGGAATACATTTCGTCCAGGTTTACCGAGCGACAGATATTTTGTTTGTGTTTTTAATTAATGACAAGCCCTCATGGAAACATGCCACTGGGAAGTAATATCCTTGTTTGGGAGATAATATTAAACTGGTACTTAGAGAAGTAGGTTACGAGGGCGTGGACTGCTGAATTGACTGAGGGTAGTTCCTAACGGAAGGAATGACTGAGCGACTATCAGCTCAGACTCTGTTCCATAAAAATTCTCAAATTATCTTCTATTACCATATGACGCACAGAATATCGTAGCAGCTGTCATACTGACTTTTTGTGCAGTCCGTGGTAGTAAACGAGTAAAAACAAACGGAATAATAAAAATGTCTCCGAAAATAATGTTATGACTAACTTACACTGTAAGGGGAGGGATTCCCTATATGGATATGAACAGAGATATTCCAAGACCGGACAACGTAACGAGTAATCATACGTATGTGACGTTCATGAAATACTGCGGATTGTGGGTTAAATATGTTAATTGAACTACTATGAAGTGTGAATAACTGGCTGAAAACAGTTACTGAGTTGTACTTTTCACACATTCAAAACAGCAATTTTACTACGAGGCTTACACAGTACTTTCGACGACGAAGACGATGTCTTCTGGATCGCTGCGAAGTAGAAGAGGAACCCAAACACCAGTGATTACTTTTAGAGGCGCGAAGTCAATTCAACAACTAATTTTATGTAGAATAAACAAATATATAAATACCGTTTACCATAATTTAATGAATATTTTTCAAGTCCTCAAATACTGACCACGAAGTAGGCAAGTAGGCCTACATAAAGTCAGTCGAAAACATCTTATTTGTCTTCACAATTTTGTCTACAGCTATGTAAATAAAAATTATATTCGACTTGTTTAATTAACTATTCAAATCTGACAATTCGCTTTTAAAATATTTATTCTTTACATTGACACTATTTTGTATCACATTAATTACACTGTGTTCTCAAAGTCTGACGTATGAACATGTTACGTCACATCCACTGACAGATACAGCACTACATAGATCTACGTCACATCCTTCGACGTGTTATCATACAGAGACAAGTTACTGTACCAATTATGCTAATATTACAGTTACTAACAGTGCTTTAACGACTAATATTCTCACCCTCTCTGAAAATGATTTCATCACAATGAAAGGGAACCCGTAAGACCCAAACGTAGATGAAAGGATAATTTTTAAATGGATCATATGAAAACAAGATTTGGGGCTATGGACTGGATTCATCCGGTACAGGATATGGACGGTAATTAACCTTCGGATTCCATCAAATAGGAGAATATATTTACTAGCCAAGAGTAATTACTGCTAGCCTCTCAAGAAAGATTGCTCCATGGAATTAGTTAGTTAGTTGTGGCTGTATCCATTGAATCGCCAGGCGACTTCCGAGGTATCCAGTCATATCAGAACCCTGATGATGGGGACAGAGTTGGTTCCCGAAACGTCGGTTTACTAAGGTAACCAGTTGAAGCGGCTGATTGCCTGAGAATATTTTATTGATTGTACTCGCCGCAAAAGTCTCAACTCCTATAACGTGTAAAGATATAGCTTTGAATTGTGTTTATCTTTAAAACAGAAAAAAGAACACAAAAATTCTGAAGTGAATGTTAGGAAATGGTCCTAGAATTTAATTTGCTGTTAATTTCATGGTAGTAATTTTGATTTGTTATCGTTCTCGATCAAGAGCAGCTCGGTCCATCGGATCCATTAGAATAACTGCCCTTGCTTTCTACCTCTAAACGAAGGAAGAGCCATCCTTCGGAATGCAGTGTCCTTTTTTTAAAATAACTAACATTTCAATCAATAATGGATAAGTCGAAATTAGTAATACAATGCCATCATCAGTAACATTTAGAGAAAAACAGAAACATTCCAGTTGTGTTACAGATCTCTATAGCACATTATGAAATGTCTTCTACAAAATGTGGACCAGCAGGAGTTCAAGGAACACCGGCTCTAGCGTTCTTCTTAGTTGTGACTTGTTCGCAGTGCTTTATGTCATTGTTCCTCGAAAATGACGTGAATCCGATGCAATGTTACGCAACGCAACCAGAAGTAGAAAGAAGCATGTTTTTGAAAATGCTGCCCGTCGATGCTGATCTTCCGAATGGACTTGCACGTAAATACCAAAGTCTCCGAAATATTTAGGGCTCAACATGGAGAGAGTATGTTCCTTCGAAACGTCGGTAGAGTATCTACTAAGTGATAAACACCGGAGAAATGCGAACCCAACAAGAGGAATGAAACCTGATATTGAAGGATTACTCAAGCAAAATCAGTTTCAAAATAGCACTAATGACTGATTCTGCTAGAGAAAATTGGTAATGTGTGAACCTGTTTGTAAGACTGGGTCTAATTTGCTAGATGAATATGTGACTTACACATTTATCTGACAAAGTAAATAAACAGATACGCATTAATCCTGTCACACTAATAAAGTTGTTCTTTTCAACAGTTCCGTGTAGCATCAGTCGGAGCCCAAAGCACATTGGTTATTTCTTTGTTGTGCGATACATGTACGCTTCGGATAAAAGGATTCCAAAATACTTAAAAGATCCATGACTTGCCAGTTATGTAGAGCACTATATTTGTTTTTAAACTGCAAGGTTTTACTACTACTACTACTACTACTACTGACATGCTTATTCTCGTTCCTACTTTAAAGAATATCAGTCGAAAAACATTTCTATATTTGCGAAGAAAAACTACATTTTTCAGGTGGTCGCTAAACTAAAACCATTGACACACACTTGAATAAACCAAAATATCCAAATTTTTCTAATATTTGAAAATAATAGATGTTTTCAAGATTCTAAATTCAGCAAAGAACTATAACATTACTTTTATTTATTATTAAAATATTCGTGACCAAGTTGGTACTAATTCTTAAATTTATATACAATGAAACGTATCACGTCTATCTGGAATTCGTGGCAGTCAGGATCTGTTTGCAGATACTCGTGAATTCGCTTTTGCTATACCACGTACCGGCACCTTTCTGCCGGCTGCATTAACCATCAAGTCTTTTACAGTTCTAATTAAAAAACCTTCTAACTGAATCTAAATGGTGAAGTAAACCATTCTTCATGTCTTTTCGCAGATACAACGCCCATCATTCCGCCACTCCAGACACTAAATCCCTCCATCGACTCTGGTTAGGGAACGATTTTCGATTACAAAACCTAACGATCATACAACTCGATTAGAAAATACAATTAAGCCAAGTCATTAGTATTATAGCATTTTCTATTGGGCTTACCATCTTTGCAATCAGGCTTAGATATTGGTTAAGAATATCATAGTAGACTCAAATTTAGTTAATTTGCAAATATCGTTTCCAGTTTCATAACGAAAATAATAGTTCCTCCAACATAACATCAAATTTCTTCATTATTTGTATGTAAGAACTGTCATAGCTAGGCCATTCACATTAGTTCATTCATAAAACCAGTTGGAAATAGCAGTTGCAATCTATAACATGGCACGATTTACCGGTAGTACAGAAAAAGAAGATTAAATGTCGAATGGGATGGAGTAGGAGGAAGATAGTTATGAGTCAGTCAAAAGCAAAACGCCCACGATTCTGAAGTGGAGTTGCGTAGTCTGTCACTGCTAAATGAATCATCAAATAAATAAGATAGACATAAAAAGTTAAATTAGTTGAGCATTTTGGTGGGCCATAAGGAGGAGTCTTTAAAGTTTCGTGCGTAAAATATCCAACATAACTTACGGGTACGGAAGTTGAGACGGAAGACAAAGAAGAAAAAATGCACACAATGTTATCTGTTGCAGGGGCGTCATGATTTTGCTTGAAGTGATTGGTGTTTTCTCGCGCAGACGTCAAATCATGGCTGGACATGCAACATAAGTATATATATAGGTGCGTGATTGCTGTTCAGCAACTTGTCTTCATTCCTGACGCTTGCTACGGAGACACTGCCCAAGACGCATTATTCCGCACACAAAGCTACAATCTCAAGGTATGGTTCGCAAACAATTTGTTCATGATTACATCATAACGAAACCAAGTGGCGATTGTTACCAACACCACCACACCCTATCACTGGACCTAATCCTAGGACAATTGGCATTATGTGGTTGGCATTCTTACAACCCAATTACCAAATATTCGGTTTAATACTTTTCTTCGAGAATTCTGTTTTAATTTGTATACACATACGTATCAAATGGACAACCCACAAGCCTCCTTAATTTAATCGTGGTAACAACATAAATGTTATTTTACAGACATGGAACATTACAACATAATTGGCAACCATGCACTAAATTCGAGAAGTACCCGCGATATGGACCGATGAGTTCACCAACTTATGTGACTTAGGCTCGATAATTTTTCGTTGGCACATGAATTAAAAATAGAATGGAAAACCAACTTTTAATTATAGTTGAACTTATTATTTTAGATTACTTGTATAAACAGTGAAAATAAGATGAATACGTGAATTTTAGCCGTGTTAGTTAATATCGATCATGATCAAAGAATAGCTGATGGCCATTGAAGTTGTGGCCTCGGCTTCTTCATTAAACACGTGCCACTAAACTGGAGGAGTTTATAATGAACATTTATTAGCTCAATATAGGTATTAAAATCCATATGTATTAATTTAACATTACACAGTGCTTAAAATATTTTGTTTTGTGCAGCCCAAGCAATGCAGTTCCTTTGGCATCTACTGATACTAACCATCCTGATGGCAAATGCTGCTCATCTATATCAAACAAGAGGCAAGCTGGCAACTATGAACCTTCAGCACTTTCGTAAGGTTCAGAAATTTGCATGCAAGCAACCTCAGCCACGCCTCATACGAGTGGATGACCTGTTCAATGTGAACTCAAAGGACTTGTACACTCCACGAGCAACAGTGCTGCATCGATGTGGTGAGGACACAGGCTGCTGTCCAAGAGAGGGCATGACTTGCGTCGCTCACAACACAGAGAATGTGACACTGATATTCAATGTGTATGACACACAGTATCACAATAGATCAAGGCAAGAACAACAAGCTTCAAATCACACACTCTGTCAGTGTGTTGAATTCCAATAACACATGGAAAAGATTTCAGAAAGTGTGAAACTTGTAAACAGACGGATAATATAGAAGGGGTCACACATAATGGAAAAACACACTAGCACAAGCTGTGATAAAATAAGACTGAAAACATCAAATGCTTTTATACACTTTTGTATATATAAAATATGTATATTAGGTACAATTTTATTCATACATACCACTCGGTGCTCCTGAAACATGCTTTAAATGAGTGCAGGCTGAGTATTAAGGATTCTGGGAGGAATCTATAGTTATTTCTGACAGTATTACTTCTCAGTCACTATTTGTATCCTGCTCCGTGTAAACTTCATAGAAGCTGCATCAATTTTTCTTTAAGTCTGAGGAAATGTGTGAAATGATATGAAAAACAAAATTGGCCTCTGCTTTACATCAAGTAAGGTCCATTAAAATATGTTCTATTGTAAGTTCCCCCTGCCTTTTCCCCAGACATGATTTTATGCATTAAATTTACGTATGTCAATATGTGATCATGTTGCAAATGAGAAAAAAAATGCCCAGTACATAGTTCAGCAGCATTACTGGTTGAGAAGTGTGTAGCAGAATTATGGAATCATAATACTGAATACATCTATTAATTTGTTCACCCTTGTCTTATACCATCAACCATGCAGTCTGTTTATTTTCAGACATACTGTGTACCACCTGTATTTATGCTACTGTGCTTTTTTCAGTATTTATAAAATTATAATATTTCATCAAAGTTATTCTAATGCAGCTTTGTAAGAAAACACAGTGAACTGCATTTATGTAAATAAAATACTCAGTAATTTCATGCAATATGAATGGCTTTATGTTAAAAAGAATTTAGAATATAATAAAACCATATTCAGAAGACCTCCGATGCCATACAAATGACTTCTGATCTAATGCTTCTCATCCTCTTTTAAGGACACTTACAAGCCTTATATTTTTAGACTGAAGATATTTTTTGTTTTTGCCTTTTCCCTATAGTTTATTTATGAAGTGTGTCATTCCTAATCATGTTCTCTTTGCTGCCTATATAATAATCACTGAACCTGATGAAAATTTTAAAGCACCACGAACAAATTGTTTCATAGTCAGCAAGCTTGACATTTTGACAAAACAAATTTCTTAACATTTGTAATTCATGACAAGCCAATAAATGTATTATCAGCTACCATGACCAACATCCAAATAAGCAGAAACAACATTTATCAGTCTAGAAACTGGCAATCACTCAAACACGAAAAGTCACGCTGACTACATTCTACCAAAATTAAGCACATCAAATTATGTAATGCCATATTATAAGCTGGTAAAGAATTTCTGAAAATAGTAAACAAATACTATGCAATATTTTGTGGTACCTCGTATGGCAGTGTTAAAAAATATTTCTTCTGCTAAAGAACATTATCAGAATAATAAAAGTTTCTAAGAGGACAGTCTTGAAGATACTTATTTAAAAATTCCATATACTAAATATCTTATCACCGAGTTTAGCCTAATAATATTTAATACTGACAACACAGACATTTCAAACCGAGAGTTTCATAATGTGAGCTGCTTACAGTCTATAAAAAAAGTGTCTTGGTATGAAAAGACAAAAATTTATAATGAACTACCCTCAAAATTAAATGCTTATCCACAAATATAAAAGTGGCATTAAGAGAATAATTAAAAATAAATAAATGTAAAGTTATAAATCCTTACGCACTTCTCATGTGTATTTACATGTAATAATAAGTTAATCTGTTTATTGTAATATTAGCCTTGTTTAAATGTTCTGCATGTAGAGTTCTCATGTACTGTGTGAACATGTATACGTGCGTCGGTAATGTGTATATAGGAAATTATCTATTAGGTGCAAAGCTTATTTTTAGAATATTAAGGTAGATTATTTTCTTCAGTGAATATTTAGATATGCCCAAAAATGTCTTTAGGTCTGTAAGTACTGTAGACCTCAAAGTAAAATTAAGTGAATGAAACTTACACGTGGTAATTGATATAATGGAAGTACTAGACTATTATGTAAAGTAACTCTAAAACAAATTACAGTTAATTAAACACATGAACATATTTATGTAATAGAAGCGCTAAGTTTCATTTAACATAAGCACTCTTAAATACTTATTTATTAGAGTAAAAATGAACCAAACTATAGAAAAGCAAATTATTCGGCAGCAAACTTTCATTCAATTTCCTTCCACAGTTTGGGCACTGTTACTTATAGGTAGATTATACAGGTAGGAAAACATTACAAAATAAAAAAGTGCTAAAAAATATCTTTTCTGAAACACACCTAAAACTCCAACTGCAAATGTTATTTTTCAATGTGCGTGTGCATCTCCAACTGCAAATGTTATTTTTCAATGAGCGTGCACACACACACACATTACTGTTTTCTTAGTATTTAGGCATATTTTCAAATCATAACCAAGATACAATTCACCATGACTTATCATTTACCAGTGCCAGTCTTTTAACTACAAAAGTCACTTTCCTGCAAAATGTCAAGGTATTATCTTTAAACACACACTTTCCAATTTATCATTCATAACTCATACCATTTACTACTACATAACACAGGTAGTTGATAAAGCACTGTTAAACACAAGTTATGTATCTGTTTATTGGATAGAATGGAACCTATACAAATTTTAGTGATGTTTCCATAATATATGGCAAACTGTGAAATGCTTTCCAAACACAACAGTACTGCAGACAATTTCTGCATACGGTACACTCTGAAGGTTCATTCAGCATCCACAAGCATAGAAAATCCTGATAACATAAACAGGGAAGATATTTGGTGGCAGGGCCTTTCTGCTATGCACAATCAGTGTCAAGTCACCATAAGTGAACATCATAATAAGTAATATTACTCACTTTTGTGACCTCCGCATGTTTCAATGTGTTGCGCAAAATTCCCTTAGCGTTAGACATGCACAAGTTTACACTACATCAAGTGTTTTTGTATTAATTTTACATTACATATAAATTCACTAGGATATGTTAGAAAATTAAGCAGAATAAGTTTCATGGGGTTTGACTTTCCAACAGAAAGAGTATTCAGTCTTTTATCAATAAAAGAAGAATTGGCATGTCAGTAAACAATAAACTAGAACATCAACGTTGCGTATTAAGAGAAGAAAAGTTTGACAATGTCAGAGCTTGGTTTAAACATTCACCTCTTAAGCAATTTTCACAAGAAATGGGAATATAAAAAGGAAATATGTAAACTAATAATAAATTATTGAATCTACAGCCTTACAAAACCAGAGCTGTGCAATCTAATAGCAAGAATAAATTTCTGTACTGGTATCTTCAGTCAGTTCATGACTGGGAACCTAATCCCAGGTTCATATTTTTATGAATGCAGCTTGGTTTTACATGAAATGTTATGTGAACATGTAAAATAACAGGTAATGGAACAGACAATTCATATCTTACATGCAAAGTTCTATTAATACTAAACACTAACATTTCAGTTTACTGTCTATTAACGCATGAGATGCAAAAACTTTACTAACAATATTCTGAATACTGTTTCTGTGGGGAACTTAAACCCCAAAAACTCTCCTGAATTTTATGTGACACTTCCCACTGGACTTATACACAACATAAGCTTCACACAAAAATACTCAATACTCTAGTACAAACTTTCCAACATTCAACAGGGAATCTTGTATGGCAGAGTTACATATAAATATCACATGGGAGTATAACAACACTTCTTCTTATCACTGCTGCTGACTTGCAACAATTTGTGGCAACTCACACAGTAATCACCCACAGCAGAGAAGATGCAGTATCAAATATCCATGCTGTATTTACAAACCTAATCTTCATAAACGGACTGAAAACTGTACACTGAACACATCGATTGACAACTGCAATACAAAATATTACATGCACATAGCAAAATTCCTACACTGGAATGTACTGCTAATATAAAACATAAAAGCCGTGTTAAAATAAAAGGGGAAAAGTTGACTGCCACATGATTTCAAACATTGTTATTAAAATCTCATTTGATATGGGGGAAAGTTACCCTTTGGTTTCCCTCGCATCCGACGTGCCCTTGGAGGACCTCGCTGAAAGTTGCCTCTTTGGGGATCACTTGGTCCTCCTCTCATCATCATACCCCGTCCTAATGAGGGAAGAAATATATTAACCTACATTCCTGCATACACTGTATAAATGTTCAATTTGAAATTATGGAAATAAGTACGTTTGAAATAAACACTGGTAAACTGGCTGAGAATGATTATAATTACATTATCATTAACTAATAACAGATCATTAAAAATATGCATCAACACCATAAGGTTTTGACAATGATAATTTTCTGTGAGCGTGAGATAAAATTGACATTTTCCCCATTTACCTAAGATTAAATGGATCATTATTAATATTTTTGCTCCAACAACTGTCTTCATATCACAGCATATATGAAACATGTTCAACATGTGAAATCTGAGGTTCTTATGGCAGTGCTTCTTATACAAGCATTCTTACAGTATATATAACAATACTAAACAATTTAAAATTATAATTAATTTAAGTAATTGTGAATGAAATATTCCACACACAATTGGACCCTGCTACAATTACTTTATGATATTTAAACCACATTATAATAAGACTTAAAAGAACCAAAATATCATACATCCAGTCCACATCCTCCCAAACTATGTCCCCAAGATCCATTTTAATATTTTCCTCGCATTTATGCCTTCCAAGTGGTCTCGCTCTCCACTACACATATAGTAAACCTGTCTACTTTACCTCTGGAAGTGGAACCTGGCTCATTCCAAACAATGGGTGTGGGTCTCATGGCCACTCGACCTCGATTCCTGAATGTAGTACGGCCAGACCGTCGGACTGTGCCTCCATGCACTCGCTGTGAAGAAGTGCTGCTCATTGCAGGCTCCACTGTTGCCTCTGCCTCACGTCCCTCTTCAATTTCTTCCACTGCCTGGGATTTCTCTCCCTCAGAACTTACTCCTAAACCACAAGGAACATATAACAAAACAACTTCAATTTACAGGTCAAATAAGAAACAGTCACTTCCTGATTCTAAGGAGAAAATTTAATTATAGGTCATATCATAGAAAACAAAGTTTGTATAGAAAAATAAATTTATCTCTCAAATAAATTATGGAAGTAATCATGGAACACCAAAAACATGTCAACCTCAACATGAGAAACCTCATTAAAATTACTCTTCACTGCTGCTTCCTTGGCATATCCTCACCAGTTCCGCTATTGCTACTCATCTCATCACGCTCCATTCAAATGTTCATATCTGTGACACAGTATCATCCAAATAGTTGGTAAATAATTTTCTATTTGCTACATCCAAGATCAGTTTGTGCACTGAAACCAGTAACAAAATTCAGGAATCCAAATTTTCGCATCTTTATTATATGGGATTAATAGCACAAATACAAATTGTTATATGTCCTTTACTGCACCTTACCAGGTACCAGATTTTATCATCACAGAAAAGTGCATTCATTTCAGGATTTTCTGAATATGACTTCAATGCAATCTACCTGTCCAATCACTTTCATCAACATACATCTGAACACCACTTACCATAACTTGCTTTGCTGTTGTTCATCATACTGGTATCTTTCAGTCCATATCAGAGTTAGTTATTAACAAGTCCAGCAGATACCACTATCAATCTAGAAATGTCAACTCTTATTACTTACATTAACGGTAGGTTCCACTGCCAACTAGTTAACTAAATGGCTTACCGAACCCGAAGGTTCATCACTGAATTAACCAAAGCCCTCCACCGGACCCTGTCCTGGGCCAACAAAATCCAGTCTACTTCAACTCCTATCTCCCATAGATCCCACCTGACATTATCCTCCCATCTGCGTCTAGGTCTCCCCAGTGGTCTATTCTCCTCAGGCTTCCCAACCAATACCTGGCGCACACCTTTTGTCCCATCCATGCATGCTACATGCCCGGCCCATCTCATTCTTCTCGACTTATATCACCCTGACAATACTGGGGGAGGAGTATAAATTTTTAAGTTCATCATTATGTGGGTTCCACTGCAGAATTATTAATACACTGTACGTATTTACAGATCTGGCACTTCAATTTTGATAGGTCCAACATAATCACCAGGTATCTTGCAAGCTGCACTCCCTAGTTCCCATGCCACAATGGATTAAGGATGGTCAGGTAAAGATTCAGAGCAGCCTGGTGATGCAACAGTTATTTGAAAAACTTTGACTGTTGTGGATTTATTGTTCTAATTACTTCTGATCCTTACTATGAATAACTCTCTTGTAACTTCCTTGGAAAGCATCACCCTACTCTTTATGTTAGATCACGTTACTATGCCCAACTAGAAGTGTGGGAGTAAAACAAGAGCTATTTTTTTTTTAAAATATATGTTGACACGTCCACAGCACCTTCCCCCTTTGCCATGTGCTGACATCTTGCAAGATGTCTGATTAGTATAGTTCTATCCACAACATATTTGTCAGTGTCAGTTATGAAAGACTATATTAGATGACATCCAAAAACAATTAACATGAATGACTTGAACATGAATCCTATTCTAATGCAAAAACTCACCATCACCTCCTTCATCTGCCATGTCCAAAATATCTTCCTGCTCAACAACCTGATCTTCGGACAACCCTCTAGGTTCACCTGATCCACCCATTTCTGGTTATTACAACACAATGAAAGTGATTAAAATAATTAATAAATGTTAACAAAAATACTTCAAGTATCTAATTTTAAAGAGCCAAGTCATTCTCGAGAAGCTAACAGTCATTCAGGTGGTCAAGAAATACTCTTACCTATTATGGAAGCAAAACATTCATGGCCACATTCATAACCCACCACATTAATGAAAAAATCTGACCAGAATTACAGCACGCAGCAACAATCATGTGTCTATTTACAATAATGGTTTTTTTTATCAATGTGCTTCATTATCTGTCTTGGACTATAATTTGTTATCCAGGTTTAGTAAATGCATCATTCAGTAATAGTATATTAATTAATCCCTTTTTAGCCTAATTCACCTTTTAATCACCAGTCCCCAAGACATGTGAACCATGAAACTTGGTAAGAACATTATTAGAGGCCAGCCCCACCTTCCTACTGTTAATTTTTCTACCATCCATTATACCAACATGGCAACAATGTGAATTCCCAAGGCCCACTTAAAACAGGGGTCCTGAAATTGTGTGTAATAACAGACCTTTACAAAATCTACATATGACAGAAGTCCTTTAAAACACTTTGAATATAGTACCTCCATCCACACAAAATCTTTCTCCAGTTCTTCCAAAGCTCTGAACTTATGTACACTTCATATCATTGGCTGCAGTGAGCACAATGCACATTACCTGCTACTTGTGGTGGGGGCATCTCCTGTTCTGTGGCAGTAGCTCCTCTCTCTACAGTATGTGTCACTGTGATGGCAGGGATGCTGCTTGGAACTTCGGTACTGGTACCAGCTTCTGCATGCACTTCCTGGTGCTCTGGAAGCACCTGTTCACCATCACTGCCACCCACACTCTGGCCAACCTCACCTGGCATATCCAGTGCACCCAAATCACCTACATAATGACAGTTCACTTCAGGGTTCATAATCTAGGATGCTCTGTGTTAAGTTCTTCATGACATAAGCCTGAATTTTACTCTTTTCTCTGTTTATAAAGGTTCACGTTTCATCTGCACGTGTCAGTGTTTGTATAAACTATTTTATTTATGTACCAGAAAGACTGTAAAGTATTCTGAATTCCTTGACTGACCATGTTTAAATTTTACTGTTGTTACTTATTTAACTTTCCAAACATTTAAAATTGTCTGTTTCTTTTAACTTTTGTCCAGCTGTTCAATTATGATTTTCCTATAGCTATATATTTCATCATGACAGTTAAACATAAAAGTTTAAATCAGCCAGTCCCTTGTAAAATGCCTTACTCTAATGCTACTTGAGCTAAGGAATACGTATGAATTACTTTTGCTTTCCCATGTTCTAAACTCAATTCAATTTTAGATAAGGGTTAAATTTAATCAAATGCCCTTCCATTTTGTACATATAAGATTTCCTGCAATAAGATTGTCATTTCAATCTGTATAACATGCAAAACTCTAATCTTATCCAGATTTGTACTGTAATCAGACCAAGCAAAACAGTCAAAGACTTAGCATTGTATACCCTGTGGTGACACCTGGAGAGGAGTGGTGGGAACACTTCGTCCTGTCCCAGAATCCTCAAGCTGTGTCAGATCCATACGAGTATCATCCATTCCTTCAGAAGCCACCTGAGCCACTCCTAGAAAAAGGAGGATGTTCTAGGAATCATTTTGAAACTAATAGCTCCGAATTACATAATAAAGCCCCACTATGACGCAAACAATTGTGTGGTCAAGAATATCAGTGATATTCACAGAATTTATGACCATAATGTAATTGAGGAAAGAGCCGGGTAGCTCAATCATTCAATTCCCAATGGGGGCAGAGGACTTTTCCTCTAGCATCTGAATTCAGATTGGCTCTGGGGCCTACCGAGCTTCCTAAACAATGGGTAACAGGGTCCTTCCCCAGGGGTAAAGTGCGGCCAAAGAGAGACACTAACCACTCACCCGTATGTAGTGCCAAGGTTAAGAATGAGTAGGAGCTATAAAACCTTCCCCCCCCCACAAAGCGCCTACATGGTGTATAGCAGGACACCTTTACCTTTTTATGTAATTGAGAAACTAATTTGTACAGTTCACCATATATTATTAATATGTATGGGAAGGAAGACAAATGCATACAAAATTTTAGTCAGTAAACCTGAAGAGAACAGGCCACTTGGAAAACTTAGGCACTGACAGAGGAAAACATTATTATGTATCTTATAGAAATAGGGTTTGAAGATGTAGATTGGATATGGCAGGGTCAGGATATGGTCCAGTAGTGAGGTCTTGTAAATACAATACTGAACCTTCAGGTTCCATAAAAAACAACATTTCTAAAGAAGTTGAGTGTATTATTAGTCACATGGGAGTTTAGCATATATCTGAACTCAAAATAGACCACCTTTACTCTGAGACCAGGTAAGTGCTGGTATGTAATGGTGCCCCCACCTTAGGACCAAGGATATGATACAGGTGACCCATTTAAATCACAAACATCTTAGGAAGAACTAAAAATACCTGCTCGGGCAGCAGGTGGGTTTGTGTCAGAGAAGGTAAACCTTCCTGTTGGTACTTGTGGAGAACTGACTGCCTCCCCAAAACCATCTGTACGCCTTGGAACAAACAGTGTGGGAGTACTGGGAACAATGCTATCATCTCCAGCATCTTCATAACTTGGAGGCTGCTAGATAAACAAAAAGAAGCGTCTTGTTAAATCAATGCTGTTGAATGTAATTTTAGATTATCATGAGGGTGGAAATGTCGAGTCTGGTCCTCTGGGTTGTGACACCATGTGGATGTAATTAATTACCAACATTCCTCCAGAACCACCTAGAAGACCACACAACATCACAATCCACAAGAACACAACTGACAATGCTATTGAATATTATCATGACTGTTGACCTCAGCTAGGCTGTTGAGGAATGTCCGTCTATATGGATGATACCACATACTTCTAGGGGCGTAAAGGCCAAATAGTTTAATGTTTAGAAATGGACTGCAGTTTCTTAAATAAGTAGATGTCAAGTGCTGTGAGCAATTGTTACAATTCAGTTTGGCTGGCTGTTCCAGCTATGAGGACAAAATCAGATGAACAGTCACTCTGACAAACACACATCTACATTGTCCCACTATGAAAACCGTTTTGAGACTGAGGGTGTAACAGGACTCTCAAAGTACCTCTCATTTTATCTTATGCACAATATGCAGGTGTACTAAATATTAAGTGATGGTAAGGAGATATAATATAAAATTGTTAAAGTAGATAATGGTAGTGTTAACAAGTTATCAGCTTTTGTACTATGTTTATTTTCATAAATTTTACTTACTAATACCAAATGCTGTTGTTGCCTGCACAGAGGAGGAATGTGTCTTCCTCTTGTAAAGCTACTAGGAACTGAGGGAGAGGCATGACTCATAACTACTGAGCTGACACTTCCACCCTCAGGCTGTGTAACTGACCCACTGCTGGTAGCTTCAGAGTGTTGCTGTTGTGAGGGATGAAGTACTTCCACTGAGGATGCCACTGGCATAGAGGCAGAACTTGCTACAGACTGACCAGCACTGTTATCCACAGTTCCTTTAATACTGCTGCCAGACTGGTTTGGTACTTCATTACTGTCCTCTATAAGGTCAGGAAATCGCCAACACAATTGGTGAAAGAGAACACTTATTCCCTCAACTATTCAACTTACACATTTTAACTTCTTAATTATTTCCTTGAATAGTATGCCATCTGAAATATCTTATTTGTTTGTAAGCATTTGTTAATCCTTCAAATTTGAGATTCTCACTGCAGTGAGGATGTCAATTTGGTATTCTGCAAACCATGGGTCATTTCTTTTCCTAATTACAATAAAGTTCTAACAGTAGCTTACAGAATTATTTGCAAACATATACAAGTTCCAGTAGAATAAGATTAGTTTTTCTGGCTTTGCATCAGACTATTGTCTTTAATAAAAACCTTTTACATGAAACACAAAATGAATAATGGAAGATGTGTTTAAACAAGATCTGTCTTAACTGACCCTGATTTACCAATGCACCCTCTTGTAGAAATGAAACCTGACTCATTCTTAGATAACAAAGGTGTCAAAGAATGAATGCTCATCAGCAGTTACCCATTATTTCCACTTCATTATTGACTTGGTCCGGTGCTGATTCCTCATCTATGTCAGGACCCTCACCTTCATCATATGCAGTCAAATCCTGCAACATAGGACACATTCATTGTTAAAGCAGTTTTTCAATTGGGCTACAGAATTCACACATTGAACAATTAAACAATTGAATACCTGTTCATCTCTGTCATAACCTTCAACCTCATAGCTCTCCCCATTGTCTGTTTCCTCCTCAAATTCAGGACCATCATCAGGTTCTTCAGTTACCTTGAAGCACAATAAAAATTAAATACAGTTACAGTGAACCATCTGAAAATTTCTTGGAAGTGGTGTGGAATATAATAATGTATGTAAGTACAAAATTATTATTCACATTACAAAATTTTATTGAATATTCTCCTATCAAAGTTAACACCATACTCTTAGACAAGTTTATTAGGTATCATCACTGTGGATTTTGACACTGACATAATCTATCAACTACTGATCAGATACTCTGCATTCATCAGATACTGGAGAAAAAATGGGAATACATCAGCTCTTTATACACTGTAAGAAAATATTGGTCAATAGTCTTACTGAATTCAGCATCCCCAAAAAACTATTTTATATACTTAACTAAATGTTTTAAACAGTAACAGAAGGTACTGATTTTCTAGATAGTCTACTGAATCTTTGCAGGTATAACATTTCTAAGATTTCCACCTCAGAACATAACTTACACTCTGTCAAAGTCTGAGATAATGTGGCATTGCAACGATGAGGTCCATTAGTAATTTCAATAAGTTGTTATACATTCAGAATTTGGACACACATGCAGATATATGTTTCTGCGTAGCAACTGATAACAATGGTGAGATTATGTACGTTGGCACACATATGACTGAAAATTATTCACTAGTTTTGTGGCATCTACCCAGTCTCCCTCCTATCAAACAGGTACCAGAGGTTCTTCCACCAAAATTAAAGTACCTGGTGTAATATGCAGACAACTCACTTTCATCCAATGCTGACAATAAAGAGTTTTATTTTCACCCTCCAACATGAAGCAACATTGGACACATGTAAACTTGCAATAGCAATGCTAAACGAACAATGCATTTTAAAAAGATATTAGCAAATTAAGCAGAATAAATGAATGAGTGACTTCCCAGGAATATGAAAATGTAGGATTATAATTATTTGGTGAATAAATACATATATTTTATTTTGCACTGTAAGTTTGATTTAAGGAATGATCTTGAATTCATGGTCACTTTGTAACCGAGGAAATACAGTTATCTTGTCAACTCTGTCTTCAACTCTCAAAAACTGGATGTGATAACCTGAAACCCAAAAGAACAATTTAAAAACTAAATCTCTTTACTTACTCCCTCATCTGCAATTCCATCCTCATCATCCTCTTCAGAGTCAACCACAATGACTTCATCTTCATGGTCCCTCTGTGATGATGTTGGTACTTGATATTCCACATCAACACCTGACTCAGAGGGGACTGGCTGGAACATCTCTTGTGCCCCCCGTGGTCGCTTTGCCTACATAGGGATAAAAAAAATAATCTACATATCAGATGGTATTACACTACTTGAAGCAAAACCACCACCCAAAGTCTGTCACTCTCAGATGCAACACAGAAGTTTTTCAAGGTTTAAGGTACTTTACCCTATGCCAATTGTTAACTACCTATGATAGCTTATTCAATATGGTCATGACTACTCCCGATGCCTGAATATTTTATTTCCACTAATTTTCATTGTTCTTAAGAAAGTTGAAGGGAATAAGAAAGGGATAAAACTGTATGGATGACATCGAATCAACACCTTCATCAGTATTAAGACTAAATAATGAGTCACTATTTGCACTAATACCCCAATAATCTGAAAATTCCTTAACATGAAGTCAGTGTTGGTATATCTCAAGAAGATATAGATTTTTACTCTTTAAATTAGACTTTACAGGGAAACATCAGTAACAACCAAAAATGATGTTCACACAGGAAATGCTTGTCACAGTCCAGTTAAAAAATTAACATTCATAAATACCTGTGACGGTCCACCGCTCTTTTCCTCAATTCTACTTGTACTGTCTCCCTTCATATCCCTCTGACGCTTAACTCCTGCCTGTGAAGTGGTTACGGTGTTACTGCTATTGGCTTGGCTGCTTGCTACAACTACTGACTGTTCTACAATCAGCTGGGCCTGGGTCTGAGTCGTTTGTGTAGTGGATGTTTGTTGCTCCACTCTGGGTAGAACTAATGCCACAGCTTGTTGGCCCTGTTGCTGCTGCTGTTGCTGTGAAGAAGCACCAGGAATTTGTTGGACTTCCATATCATCTGATTCTGTTTCTATATCCTGTAACAAATATGGTAAAATACATTTTGAGGCATCTGAAAACAAAGTGTAATGTGAAGAATTCACCATGGGAAAGCTGTATTCACATGTCTGCCCACATTTCCACATATTTCAACTCTAAAAATTTATAGATCCTTATGAAATTCAGTAGCAGAAAATTACTATGGAGGTTGTCAGGGGATTGACTCAATTTTGATTCTGAGTAGTAATCAGATTCTCAAACTTTACATCAAAACTTACACTTCTTTATAGACACCAAATTTAAACATTTTTCAAATAATTAATAAAGAAATCCTTACATAATTTTCAGCATTGAAAATTTTGATGTATGCTGTTAAGTACGCAATTTTTCTTTTTAGTTATCAACTAAATTACACACCTTTCAAGATTCCTAGATTTTAAGCTTTGTAAATACCTACGATCGTCCAACAATAATATTTTGTACTAAATTACCTGTGTTGACTCAGCTGCTAAGAGTGGTGGCTCCTCACGTGAACTAGGTGATGGCCCAACTGTGACAGTCGTAACAGTAGCCTGCTGCGTTGGCTGCACTGCTATTTGCCGAATGGGACCCACTGAGGGCCCAGCCGAGCTGGTAGCTGGCATGTAATCTGTGTGAGATGAGGTGGGTGATGATGATAACACTTCTGCACCTGCACCACTTGCTGAGCCTGTTGTATGAACCAGCTGCTGCTGTGGTGGAACTAAAACCTGCGTGCTCTGACTGCAACATCAATAATACACATTATATGCACTTGTCAACAAAACATTCCAATGAATTGGTCTGTTTTAACTTGATGTAACATTAGCAACAGGAGGCCAAATATGCATAAAGGTTAATTATGTACTCAACACAGTCATTTGAAATAAATGTTTTCACAACATCTGAAACCAATTTCCATTCTTCTCAGTCCGTAGCTCATACAATCACTGCAACACCTACCAGATGCATACATTAGATACTAATGCCACATCTAAAGGGAGTTAACACATGCAAATCATTATATGCTGGCACTGCCATACATAACATTTTTTGCTGCCTCCATCATCAGGGTAATAAGTGCTCTAATGATGGAGGCAGCAAGAACCTCTGAAACACTGGTTAACTTCAACCAGAATATAAGCACTACAAACCAGAAGACAGCCATCTTCATATTCACTGCCATGAGAACCTTCATCTGTTACAAACTTGTGTCTACTAATTTAAAAATTATATTTCCTCAAATAAGAATTTCAAGTATGCAGTAATAGTAAAAGAAAAAATTGTCCCTTATGCTTAAAAAGGCATCATGCAACAACACAATATGTGGAAATGTAAAATAATACCTGGATGGTGTTTGACTACTACTAGAACTGCTTGTCTGACTCGTTGGCAGCACTGCCACTGTACGTGACTGCATTGACATGGGCCGAATACTGGCAAAAGGAGTTTCTCCTCGTCCTGGCCATGGTGTGACTGTTACAGACTGCTGCATCTAGGAAATGAAAAATGTATCAAAAAACACAGCAGACATTTCTGCTGTTACATGAAAAACTCCACTTTTCCAGCATCTTAACCCATCTTAACCTTGCACTAAAATCCTGCAGGGCTATCAGTAGCATCAGAACTGACCTAAAAATCAACATTTCAGACTTCTGAAACAATGGTTTTAATGAAACTGACATGGCAGATCATCCGAGGATTTTAGCGAGTTTATTCAACTTTGCTGAGTGATATTTGAAGGTCACAGTAGTTTAGCAAACATACATATAAAATAACGAGTTTGATTGGTAATGTCAATAATACAGTAAGTAATATTTTAGACACTCTATTTACAATACAAAAATTACATTGTTAATGTAACAAAATGTTTAAATTTGTAAAATAATTTCAGTCATTGTTTGCCATTCAATATAAATATACAATAACTCCATTATCAAATAATTGTTTAAAGCAGTGTTTTTCTACCGGGGTTCCCCGAGCAATTGCCGGGGGTTCCGCGAGAAATAGTGATGAATAGGCTAATCATATGTAAATGTACTTTTTGAGTAATTTTTATGTTTAATTTCATATTCATAATTTTACTATACACGTACAACATATTCTCGGAAAATTCTTGGGTATTATAATAAAGTCTTCAACCTGTTATGTCATTTAGGAATACAGC